GGGACAGTTCATAATGCTCTGAAGGCTTCAGAGATCAGTGGTCAAAACAAGAAATGAGTCCCACTGCTCTGAGGACAGCCTAAGATCCACAGGTGAGAGGGCAGCTTCACCAAGGCCTTGAGTGAGCTATTCAGATGACTGCTTCTAGAACTCATAAAATACCAGCTACTGGTGGGGCTTTACATTTTGCAAAGTGCTTTCGAATGAATTATGTAGTTATTATTGAAATAGCACATTTGTATTCTAAGTTCCTTTTTCTTATAAATTTGTAGAGTTTCTTTATATATTCTGGATAAGTCCTATATATCCAAGTATCTTCTCCCACTCTATGGCTTCTCTTTCACTCTCAATGCTATATTTTGATAAAAAGAAGTTGTTAATTTTAATGTAACCCAATTTACCAATTTTTTCTTTTATGGTTAGTGCTTTTTGTCCTAATGAAACATCAATATTTTTTAGTTCTTTAAAACAATTTTAAACAAATTTATGAAGTACAGTTGACACATAATAAACTGCACATATTTAAAGTGTATGATTTGTTAGACTTTGGGGAGTGATGGGCCACATGCATTATCTTGATTGCGATGATAGTTTCATGGTTAAACATATATAACAAAACAACAATTTTAATAGTTCAATATATTTCATCCTATGATGGTGTTCTAATTTGTTTTCCATTCCTCTATTATTGAGCAATAAAATTTCCCTTTTCTCCCCCATCGTAAAAAAATACCTCTGTTAAGTGTCATAGGGATGCAACAGCATGAATGAGCAGAAAACAATGGATATGGTTTGTGGAAGACAAGGTATGTGGTAGGTTGCTTGGCAATGCCATCATGTGAGGAAAGGATAGAGAGTGCTGCGCGGGGTGATGAGGAGTCTCAAGCTCTGCGATGCCTCAGTAATGAGCTGTCATGTGTTGTGATGTGCCGTCTTAAGTGATAAAGTATGCGAGCAGCAGAGAAGAGGTGCTGGCTTAGGGTGGTGACAGCTGCCTACTTTGGGAGGAACTGACTGAAGCAAGAAAGATAGGACCTTCCTCTTCTTAAAAATGGCTTTTAATTACTTTTTTTTTTAAATCAGAAAATATTTGTGCATAAAGTGAAACTTATTCTGTAGTCCCAGGTCCCACTTCCCATAGATACTGAAACTATTTTGGCATGTAACCTTTTAGACATTTTCTATGCATAGTTTTATATACATATTAACTATACACACACACACACACACACACACACACACATTGTGTGTGTTTTTTTTAAAAACAGGACTGTGTTAAAAATGATGCTTGGCTACTTGCTCTTTTCACTTACTAACTTGTGGCCCCCTGCCCATGCCAGCGTGCTACAGAGGGGCCAGCTGCCCTCCGTCTCAAAACACAGCTCAGGGTGTGGCAGATGTGCCCCAGTCTCAATCTCAACACCTGTAGTGACCAAGACAGCTTTGGCTGAGGCCACGGTGCAGAGTGGCCTGCAGAAATGGCATTGACAAGACCCCCCTCTACAGCAGGCTTTGCCTTGTTCCCACACTACCGCAGTCCTGCCCCCTCAGGTACTTTGCCCCTGCCTGTCCCATTGCCTCTCTTTCAGGCCACAACTCAGAAGCCTACTTACTGCAGCCCGGCAACCCAAGCAGATGAGCGAAGAAGGCTCGGTGCAGGAGTATTGTAACTATAAGTAGAAAGCACTGCCCTGTTTGAATGGCAGTGTCTACTCACACCATCACTCACACACATCCCCTTGTAAGAGGGGATATTGGGAGGAGAAAGAAGATGGCGGCGGAGGTAACAGCTGCACCCGCCGCCTCCTGCAACCACATCAAAATGACAACTAAAATACAGAACCACCATCACTCAGAGCCTCCTGAGATCTGGGTGAACAGAAGCCCTACAAACAGGGAACTGAAGAAGCACCGAGAGCGGTAGGAGGGGCGGAGATGAGGGCGGCTTGGGGCTGGATCCTGGAGACACGGCCGCGGGCCCACACCCGGTGCCGTGGTTGAAACCCGGGAGGGAATCTCGGCGGTGGGGGTTTCCCGGAGAGTAAGGGGTCCCAGCCCCACAGCAGGGCCCAGCCCAGGGCTCCAGTCCGGGAAGAGACGTCCCCACAACTTTGGGCTGTGAAACCAGCGGGGACTGTGGCTGAGGGTCCTGGAAGCTGCGGGAGCCCCAGCAGCTCCTCCTAAAGGGCTCGCGCACGGACTCACTCGGACGCTCCCTCTGAGCCCAGCGCCGGGCAGCAGCCTGAAAGGACCTGGGACACT